GTGCTCTCTCTGGTGGTTTCCAGGCTGTGTGTGGGTCTTGGAGATGCTGCTGTCCGTCTGGTTTATGTCCATCTCTGAATCCTGAGCGCACATTTAGCTCGCCTTTAAATTCTCCCTGCTTCTGGTTCTTGTCTCAGACTCAAGCAAACTTTCTCACAGAAAAAGGGAAGAAGAAGAAAAAAAAAAAAACCACCACGCTGCAGTCTTGAGAAATTGATGAGAAATGTTGGATGGCTTTCTTTCTTCTTTAAAAAAATATAAAAATAAAACATATTTTTTTATCCAAAGTCCAATTATTTCTTTACAGCCACACACATTTAGAGACACGTAAACTTTCAAAAGCACAATATAATAAAATCACTTGTGCTCTTTTTTTTCCTTGTTGTTTTGACTCCATCCCGCTGAACTGAGACCGCAAAAATGTTTTTATTAAACCGATATTTTAGATTCCCTCAAAATAAAAACCGTACAGAGTAAACACAAATACTATTCAAAAAACATAAACCATGTGAAAAATAATACAGTTTTTATTAGTTTACATTGCGCTTTTTGCGCAAATTGTTGCCTTTTTTGTGGATGTGAAAACAACGTTTTGTAAAAATGACTAAACATACTTAATGGTTTAATTATAATAACACCTAATATAAATCAAATGCTATTTAATGCCTATAAAATACATGCTTTATACAAGTTCTCTTTTTTTGCAGAACGTTACATCCGTTTTGCACCATCACGCACAAACTAACGCGTCGGTAACACTAATAACACAAATCCAACACGCTTTCCAAGAGTTTCAAACAAACAATGCAAAGAGTGTGTTTTATTTAGTTCAATGAGCGGGTTAAGGTTACTTCATAGACGTTTTTTATGTTGCTGCCTTCACCAGGCTTCAGTCCATTTCTCCATCCATCCATGGTGATGTGGTGAAATGTAAAGTCTTAGCTACCAGGCCCGGATCCCCTGCAGTGTTCCTTGGCAGGGGGTGACCACCGGGGCTTGGGGAGCCTGGCTTTGCGTCTGGGCACCCAGGTTTCCCAGGTTCATGTTCATGAAAGTGTTAGCCGGGGTGCTGTTTGGAGGAAGCGCGGGTAAACTCGAATAAGAACAGGAGTAAGTGTTGGAATACACCGAGTTGTTGTAGCTGTAGGCCGGGTAGCCGTTGTAGCTGTACGGGTTCGCAGCTCCGACCGTGTACGGTGGGTTATAGTTCTGGGATCCGGTCAGACAGGGCCTCCCGTCCCGCACCAGCACCGGCACAGCCACCCTCCTCGGCGGCGGCGGAGGGTGATGATGATGATGGTGGTGACCTGCGATCTCCAGAGTCTTGTCCTGCCGCTGCCTCTTGCATTTGTACCTCCGGTTCTGGAACCAGATCTTGACCTGGGTGGAGGTGAGTTTCAGGGAGCTGGCCAGGTGTTCCCTTTCAGGGGCGGACAGGTAGCGCTGCTGCTTGAAGCGCCTCTCCAGCTCGAACACCTGGGCCTGGGAGAAGAGGACGCGGGGCTTCCTGCGGGTCCTCTGCTGCTTGGCGGCGGATTTCTCCGAGTCCGGATCCTCACAGTCTCCTCCTAACGCAACGCAGCTCTCTGGTGGCATAAAAATCAAAACAGTTTGATATCTAATTTGTTCTTTGTAAATGTATTCCTAAAAAATGCCATGTTTAAACGATAAATGCTGTTATTTTTTAGGATTTATAATTAGTTCCCTGCTTTTGGTTTTTGTATAATTACAGGATGTACAATGCGTAAAAAGAGCAATATAGTCATTATGTACAATAACTATAAATAATGGTACTAGTAATAATAATTACACACACACACACACACACACACACACACACACACACACACACACACACACACCCCCTTCTAGACTATTTTTTTAATTTTTATTTA